CGCTCCAAACTTTACATGCACATCAGGTAAGCTGGTATTACCCCTCATTTTCACCGCTAGAGGCGCGAGCGAATTGACTTTTTGTAAATATACATAATTATAAAGATAGAAGCTTCTATAGAAGATAATGATCATAATGATGATGCGCGCGCATCCGTAACATGAGGAATTGAGGAAAGACGGTCGTGACTATATATATTAATAATAAAATAATAATATTAATATAATAATAATAATTATTATTATTATCATTAGATAATGATAATGATCATAATGATGATTCGCGCGCATCCGTGACATGAGGAATTGACGGTGGAAAGACGGTCGTGACTATATATGTTGATGACCCGGGCAACGCCCGTGTTTTACCGATTGAATGTTTTTATTCAAATACTATTTGTTACAATTATAAATTGGAGCCGTGGATGTCACTCTTGTGAAACGTCCCGCTCCAAACTTTACATGTACATTAGGTCAGCTGGTATTACCCCTCATTTTCACCGCTAGAGGCGCGAGCGAATTGACTTTTTGTAAATATACATAGTTATAAAGATAGAAGCTTCTATAGAAGATAATGATCATAATGATGATGCGCGCGCATCCGTGACATGAGGAATTGAGGAAAGACGGTCGTGACTATATATATTAATAATAAAATAATAATATTAATATAATAATAATAATTATTATTATTATCATTAGATAATGATCATAATGATGATGCGCGCGCATCCGTGACATGAGGAATTGATTGACGGTGGAAAGACGGTCGTGACTATATATGTTGACGAATGGCCCGGGCAACGCCCGGGTTTTACCCGAACTTTGTGTTAATTTATTCCGAGTGCGTATATATTTTAAAAACGTTTTAATTCAAATACTATTTGTTACAATTATAAATTGGCGCCGTGGATGTCTCTCTGTGAAACGTCCCGCCCCAAACTGTGTGTGTCTTGAAAATATAAAAATAAAAATGTGAATTTTCATAAAGATTTCATCATGTCGATTTTTTTTTTTTTGCATTTCACCTACTAAATCGATAGAGATAATTACATTTGCAACATGAACTTAGGTATATTGATAAATAGAAAACTGCATAGTAATAAATTTTTTAAAGGCACCATATCGTTTTTTTTTCAATAAAATCGAAACAAAAATTAACGATAAATAACGATAATTGCCTCAAAAAGAAATTGCCTTAAAAAAATAAACATTCGCGGTGATTTTGTCTTGCATTCGTTTATACAATTATTAAATACGAATGACCCGGGCAACGCCCGGGTTTTACCCGATTAAATGCTTTTATTCAAATACTATTCGTTACAATTATAAATTGGCGCCGTGGATGTCATTCTTGTATAATATATAAATGAGTTTTAGAAATTGTAAAAAAAAAAAAATGCATCGGCCGGGAATCGAACCCGGGCCGCCCGCGTGGCAGGCGAGCATTCTACCACTGAACCACCGATGGTTATGAAAATTCCCATCCGTGAGCTTCAGACAAACAAATAGACAGAATAAGGCAAATATATAAGTAGATTTACTCTTTATTGTTGGCTTTTTATCTTACATTTATTCTTCATTGTTGGCTTTTTATATTACATTTACTCTTCATTGTTGGCTTTTTATCTTTCATTCATTCTTCATTGTTGGCTTTTTATATCATATTTACTCTTCATTGTTGGCTTTTTATCTTACATTCATTCTTCATTTTTGGCTTTTTATTTTATATTTACTCTTCATTGTTGGCTTTTTATCTTACATTTATTCTTCATTGTTGGCTTTTTATATTACATTTACTCTTTATTGTTGGCTTTTTATCTTACATTCATTCTTCATTGTTGGCTTTTTATATCATACTAGACGAATGGCCCGGGCAACGCCCGGGTTTTACCCGAGTGCGTATATATTTTTAAAACGTTTTAATTCAAATACTATTTGTTACAATTATAAATTGGCGCCGTGGATGTCTCTCTTGTGAAACGTCCCGCCCCAAACTGTGTGTGTCTTGAAAATATAAAAATAAAAATGTGAATTTTCATAAAGATTTCATCATGTCGATTTTCTTTTTGCATTTCACCTACTAAATCCATAGAGATAATTACATTTGCAACATGAACTTAGGTATATTGACTAAATAGAAAACTGCATAGTAATAAAGATCATTTTTTAAAGGCACCATATCGTTTTTTTTTCAATAAAATCGAAACAAAAATTAACGATAAATAACGATAATTGCCTTAAAAAGAAATTCCCTTAAAAAAAAGAAACATTCGCGGTGATTTTGTCTTGCATTCGTTTATACAATTATTATATACGAATGACCCGGGCAACTCCCGGGTTTTACCCGATTAAATGCTTTTATTCAAATACTATTCGTTACAATTATAAATTGGCGCCGTGGATGTCATTCTTGTATAATATAAAATGAGTTTTAAAAATTGTAAAAAAAAAAAAAAAATGCATCGGCCGGGAATCGAACCCGGGCCGCCCGTGTGGCAGGCGAGCATTCTACCACTGAACCACCGATGGTTATGAAAAATCCCATCCGTGAGCTTCAGACAAACAAACAGACAAACAGAATAAGGCAAATATATAAGTAGATTTACTCTTCATTGTTGGCTTTTTATCTTACATTCATTCTTCATTTTTGGCTTTTTATATTATATTTACTCTTCATTGTTGGCTTTTTATCTTACATTTATTCTTCATTGTTGGCTTTTTATATTATATTTACTCTTCATTGTTGGCTTTTTATCTTACATTTATTCTTCATTGTTGGCTTTTTATATTACATTTACTCTTTATTGTTGGCTTTTTATCTTACATTCATTCTTCATTGTTGGCTTTTTATATCATATTTACTCTTCATTGTTGGCTTTTTATCTTACATTCATTCTTCATTGTTGGCTTTTTATATTATACTAATGATGATGCGCGCGCATCCGTGACAGAACCGGCCGGCCCATGACAGTCGTGACTATATATGTTGATATTCCAAATTGTACCTTATCAGTAGATTTGGTCTTATTATCTTCTAATCTATAATCCAAATTATTTGGATAATGATAATGATCATAATGATGATGCGCGCGCATCCGTGACATGAGGAATTGAGGAATTGATTGAGGAGGAAAGACGGTCGTGACTATATATGTTGATAATAATAATAATAATATAATATAATAATTATTATTATTATTATTATCATTAGATAATGATAATGATCATAATGATGATGCACGCGCATCCGTGACATGAGGAATTGATTGAGGAGGAAAGACGGTCGTGACTATATATGTTGATAATAATAATAATATAATATAATAATTATTATTATTATCATTAGATAATGATAATGATCATAATGATTATGCGCGCGCATCCGTGACATGAGGAATTAAGGAATTGATTGAGGAGGAAAGACGGTCGTGACTATATATGTTGATAATAATAATAATAATAATATAATAATAATAATTATTATTATCATTAGATAATGAGAATGATCATAATGATGATACGCGCATCCGTGACATGAGGAATTGAGGAATTGATTGAGGAGGAAAGACGGTCGTGACTATATATGTTGATAATAATAATAATAAATAATAAATAATTATTATTATTATCATTAGATAATGATAATGATCATAATGATGATGCGCGCGCATCCGTGACATGAGGAATTGAGGAATTGATTGAGGAGGAAAGACGGTCGTGACTATATATGTTGATAATAATAATACAGTCGAACTTGGATAATTCGAACCCCAAGGGACCATAAAAAAAATTCGAATTATCCAAAAATTCGAATTAAAGATGTTAAATTATTTATATAGGAAATTCTAGGGACCAAGATAAATATTCGAATTAAAGAGGTTTTCGAATTAAAGAAGTTCGAATTATCCAAGTTCTACTGTAATAATAATAATATAATAATAATAATTATTATTATTATTAGATAATGATAATGATCATAATGATGATACGCGCGCATCCGTGACATGAGGAATTGAGGAATTGATTGAGGAGGAAAGACGGTCGTGACTATATGTTGATAATAATAATAATAATATAATAATAATAATAATAATAATTATTATTATTAGATAATGATAATGATCATAATGATGCGCGCGCATCCGTGACATGAGGAATTGAGGAATTGATTGAGGAGGAAAGACGGTCGTGACTATATATGTTGATAATAATAATAATAATAATATAATAATAATTATTATTATTATTATCATTAGATAATGATAATGATCATAATGATGATGCGCGCATCCGTGACATGAGGAATTGAGGAATTGATTGAGGAGGAAAGACGGTCGTGACTATATATGTTGATATTAATAATAATATAATAATTATTATTATTATCATTAGATAATGATAATGATCATAATGATGATGCGCACGCGCATCCGTGACATGAGGAATTGAGGACAGCGATGAGGAAAGACGGTCGTGACTATATATAGGGATAATAATAATAATAATAAATAATAATAATTATTATTATTATCATTAGGCGGCGTGGATGTCACTCTTGTGAAACGTCCCGCTCCAAACTTTGTGTCTGAGAAGCGATATTTTTATAGAAAGATGATCTGGCTTTTGTTTTCTGCTCGAATGAATGTTTTACTGTTAGAATTTTGTTCCTGCGTACAAAATAATGAGCTGGTTTCACCCGTGGTCTCTGCTTTTTGGAATTTTTCCCGATATAATTTTGTATCTGATAATCTTACATGATACAGCAATATCGTCATCATCATTTTCTGACTAATAATATATAGTTTTAATAATTGATTTATATATTTTTTAAAATAGCCTATCGTCTTCCCCGTATTTTTTACCTATGTATGGAAATTTTGGTTTGAATTAGTGAACTACTGCTAATTTGTATATCGGACATACAAACCAACAAACAAACATACATTTTTATATATATAGAGATAATATAAATGAGTTTTAAAAATTGTTTTAAAAAAATGCATCGGCCGGGAATCGAACCCTGGCCGCCCGCGTGGCAGGCGAGCATTCTACCACTGAACCACGATGCTTTGAAAAATGGCCATATTTAGGTATTCATTCCATTCCGGATTAGTCCGCGTAAAAAAAGTTCTTCAAATGAAAAAAAAAAGCCAAAAATACTAATCAAAATGCAGCCGAAAATTTTCCTCAGGTTTATAAAAAGCGACATGCAAAATTTGGTACCAATTGGTTCAGTAGTTTTTGAGTTTATCGCGAAACAGACAGACAGACAGAAATTGACTTTTATATATATAGAGAGATAGAGAGATAGAGATAGAAGATATAATATAAATGAGTTTTAAAAATTGTTTTAAAAAAATGCATCGGCCGGGAATCGAACCCTGGCCGCCCGCGTGGCAGGCGAGCATTCTACCACTGAACCACCGATGCTTTAAAAAAATGGCCATATTTAGGTATTCATTCCATTCCGGATTAGTCCGCGTAAAAAAAAGTTCTTCAAATGAAAAAAAAGAAATAGCCAAAAATACTAATCAAAATGCAGCCGAAAATTTTCCTCAGGTTTATAAAAAGACATGCAAAATTTGGTACCAATTGGTTCAGTAGTTTTTGTTTAGTGCGAAACAGACAGACAGACAGAAATTGACTTTTATATATATGGAGAAAAAGGAAAGGATAAAGGACTAAAGGAAAGGAAAAGGATAAAGGATAAGGATAACACATTTATAGTTGTTAAAAGAGAGTAGTAATATTAAATGTTGATAACATTTATTTATGGCTTTTACTTAAAAGTTATATTGAAATTGGAAGAACCAACAAACATTAAATATCAATTAGAATCTATTTTCTATTAAGTTATTTACATATAAAAGTTATAAATATACATCTCAATGGTTCTAGCACCATAGTACATTAGTTATCATGTAAGAATTCTTCTAAATTCCAGACATCCATTTGATAAAAGATCTTAAGCAAAACGAGTGTTTTGGTTATTTCGAAATTACTTCTGGCGACATTGATGAACTTGGAAATAGACTTTACCCTTTTAATGCCTTCATGATAACGTTCTTCGGTCATATCTGAGTAAATTGGGAAATGTTCTTTGTACCAGGGCAAGTTCGATTCTAGAAATTGTCGAAGCCCCGTAGAATCATTTCTGAGGTATCCCGTCACTTTGTTAGGATTAGTTTCTGTCAAGAACCTATATAAGGTAATACTACTTTTTCCCAGAATATGACTTTGCATCATTTTTATCTGACTCTGACAATTTTCCCAAAAATTAGACAAGGCTTTTGTCAAATGAATATTTTTTGGGATGGCCAATGTTGGTTGAAGAAGAATCAAATGCTTTATCATTAGCTGCATAATTGGCTCATAAGAAAGGAAATCAGATCTGAGATTTATTATTGTTAAAAAGATGTTCAAATCAAATTTGTCAGAATACCTTAAGAGTAGTTTAAAATCGCTACAATCATTATTATATGGATTTGAAATTTTCATTGCGGCATTACTCAAAAATGTTTCTCCTGATTCAGTTATAATATTCACATCAGCTCCAGCTTCAACAAGGGCTTGTATGATGGTTGAATTCCTTCTATCGATTGCTATACCCAATGAAGTATCTCCCAGAATTTTTTTTTTTCAATTTTTGCGCCTGATCGTATTAACAATTTTGTCACTATATCCCTTCTATTAGCTGTACATGCATAGTTTAAAGGCGTCATAGAATATAAATATTCTCTATTTAGATCTGTTCCAATCTTAATTAAGAATGCTAATACTTTTATGTTTTCCATAATGCAGGCATTAAATAAAAGCTTATCATTTTTGTGAATATTATCTCCAGACTCAATTAATATTTTAAAATTTTCAAAGCCAGCCTTCAATGAAAAGTGAACAGCTCTATTTCCATATTTATTTGTTTCATAGATATTCATCCCCTTTCTGATTAATTCCTTCATAAAACGTGTATTATCGCAGGCGGAAGCAAACATCAATGGTGTAATGTGATTAGAATCCTTCACAGTACAATCAGCTCCTGATTCAATCAAGTCGAGGAATATTTCAAAGTTCTTGTATATAATAGCGTTGTGCAGCGGTGTTGTTCCATGACGATTTCTAGCATTAATATCTGCACCATTGTCAATTAAAAATCTGTAAATTTCCATATGTCCCATCTGGACAGCTAGATGTAACGGGGTGTCGAGATTAGAAAGGTAACTTTGATACAAATTCGAGTTTTTTAGCTGATATATATCTTCAAAGGTTTTTCTTAATTCGCTAGATTTTTCGATATCATTACTTCCATACTTCGCATTTATATCTGTTCCATCTTCTATTATTTTTTTCAAATCTTCTAAATTTCTATCAATTATAGCTAGATATAACTTTATATGTGTTTCCATTTATGTTATCAGAAATCTTTTAAATAATAAGAAAATTGGTTCTATTCAATTTAGTAATTATTATTTGATATATGTTAATCTGATGGTAATATTTTTCAAACTAATCTTTCTTGATATAAACCAGAGAGATTTCTGGAGCATACCAAATATATAAACACATATTCTATGTTTATAATTATTTTACCTTATAATCTGTTTTTTTTTTAATTTGAAAATATAAAAAGACAAATACCATTTTTAAAATTTAAAGATTTTCTGATTTCATAAATGGAAATACATACAAAGTTATACAAAAAAAATCCATCTATATACAAAGTTATATCGCTATATATAGTCACGAGCGTCTTTCCTAATCATCTAGCCATCTAGGGCGTCATCGGCCGCCTCTGTCACGGATGGCCGGCGCCCTCCTATTGGACGGCTACGATCACGTGTCATCGTTGGCGCGACGGTGACCTTGAGTGACGTAATGCCCCCCCCCCCCCCCCCTGCCGGCGGCGCGCGCCCGTTGGCTGCCGGCGAGCACGTGACCTCCCTGTGCGCGCGCATGGCGGTATTCTATATACAGTTACGAGCGTCTTACCTACGGAAGCCAACAGTACATAGGCAGATAAAGCACATAGGCTATAGTTATTAACTAATATATGCATTTATTTAAGGCGCCAATTTATAATTGTAACAAATAGTATTTGAATAAAAACATTCAATCGGGTAAAACACGGGCGTTGCCCGGGTCATTCGGCTAGTCTAGCTATAATGGCCATGGCATGTACTGGCCGACATTACACGTGTACATCCCGAAATAAACCCTACCTGCATCCACTGTTCAGAAGAGCCACAGACAGTCGATCATCTTCTCTTCAGCTGCCCAGCATTCCTAAGACATAGGATGTAAACAGCTATCCTGCTTGGACTGACCCACCTCAATCCTACATCTATGACCAGACTTCCACACTCAACCTCAGCATGGAAATTTCTGGTCAACTGGTTCAACTCAGCAATCAAAACAGGACGCAAGTAAAAGCGCTCAACACTAGTCCATACTGAAGAGAAAAAGGTCGCCTCTCCCGTCAAAATAGACGTCAAAACTAGACGCCATCTATTGACCGTCACCGCAAACTAGCGGCCTCGGATCGGTGACAAAGCCACAACTCCAGCTTTGACAAACTGAAAAGCGTCCACCTAGAGACCATGGTTTCGGGCTAATGGCTCTCGTCAACATAGGGCGGACTTTATTCCATGAGATCCACACGGGATCTAATGGAATCTTGACAATCTGTCAAAGAGGTGTTTAGCTGGCAAAGTGGCTGGGCCAAATCTATGGCTAAAATATAGATGGAAATTTTGTCGGGAGGATATTGATCTAAAGAGACAAAGGTCGCCTCTCCCGTCAAAATAAACGTTAATGGCTTTCGTCAGCCTAGGGCGGACATTAGCCCGAAACCATGGTCTCTAGGTGGACGCTTTTCAGTTTGCCAAAGCTGGTGTTGTGGCTTTGTCACCGATCCGAGGCCGCTAGTTTGCGGCGACGTCAATAGATGGCGTCTAGTTTTGACGTTTATTTTAACGGGAGAGGCGACTTTTGTCTCTTTAGATCAATATCTTCCTGGCAAAATCCATCTATAGTCCATACTAGTGAGCTGGACTCCCCGGGTAGTTGGTGTTCTGTGCTCCCTGGGTTATAAATATCTCTCTTGATCAAAATTTAGAAGATTTGAAAAAAATAATAGAAAATGGAACAGATATAAATGAGACGTATGCAAGTAATAAATCGAAAAATGTGGCGAATTAAGAAAATTTGAAGAGCAGCTAAAAACTCGAAATTTTTATCAAAGTTATCTTTCTAATCTCGACACCCCGTTACACCTCGCCGCGCAGATGGATATCCATATGGAAATTTACAGATTTTTAATTGACAATGGTGCAGACATTAATGCTATCATTATTTGAATTAATGTGTGTTTGTGTTTAAAAATACTAAATAAACGTTTAGTTGATTTCTGTTCCACTAGATGGCGCTCTGCCATCTTAAAAAGTTCATGTGCTCGTGGTCACAGGATATGCCTTTTCTTAATTTTAATACCAACACCTGACTTTTTATTATTTTTTTCACACACACACATATAAATGTCCGTTACAAAATGTAAATTTATATAATACAATTAATATTTTAAAAATAGATTATAATAATTAATATATTTATAAAAAAGCTTCTATTTAATGCACTAAAAAAAATATATATTCTGTCATAGAGAAATTAGATGTATCTGAGTGAATATAAAAGCGGTGGGGGTCGATCATATTTAGAGAAGAGGTAAAAATATAGCAAACACTTATAAAAATCAGTGATTCGAGATTAAATGACATTAGGCTCGAAATTCATGATGATCGTCCCCCCGCTTTTATTTTCACTCAGATACATCTAATTGATATATTAGAAAAGATAAAATATTTTATTTTTCCTTTTTAGTGCATTTAATTAATAATTAATCCAGGTACCTTAGGTTTCAAAAGATCTCTCATGTTTTCAGTCAGACTTAAATCTTTTTGGTTTTATTTACAAATAACAGTGGAAGACGAATATAAGGATAGTGTCAAGCAGATTTACTTCTGGGGATATTTTGCATTTATGCCAAGTTGAGATTTATAATTCATAGGCTGTCTTA